CGGTGGGAATGGTGGGAGAGACCGAAACAGACAATGCATATTTCCGGTTAGGCTTGATTAGACCTGCTTTGGATTGAGTGATCATGTTGTGAGCAGGAATTGGAGGCATTGGGAGAGGGGAAGCATTCAGGGAAGGGGAAGATTCAACAAAGGAAGAGTCAGGCGATAAGGATGTAGCATTAGACAGGGAGAGAGACTCCGAATTAGAAGCTGAATGAGAGGAGGACGGAATGGTGCCATGAGAAATATCAGACAGAGAGATAGACGAAGATGGCGGCAAAGAAAATGGCTGGGGCAAAGGAATAGGAGCTGCATGAGAAAACAACGGGGAAGGTAGAATATCAGGAAGAGGAATATCGGGTGGCGAAGGAGTCTGCACAGAAGAAACAACTTCATTAGTATCAAGAGTTAACCATGAATCAAAAATATTATTAACATGAGACAAAGAGGGAGACTTGTATGAAGCTTTAAAGGGAGACGAGTGTTCATCAAACACCACATGTCGGGAAATAAAAAAATTTTTTGTGACAGGATCAAAACATTTATATCCTTTATGTTTTTCACTATACCCAACAAAGACACAAAGAAGCGATTTTGAATCAAATTTATTTTGCTTTTTATCCCAAATATACAGAAAACATTTAGAGCCAAAAACTCATAATGACGAATAATCTGGGTCTTTATTGTGTAATTTATAAAATGGTGAGACAAACTCAATAGCAGACGATGGAAGCCAATTAAGGAGATAAACAGCAGTACTAAAAGCTTCAATTGATAAATAAAGAGGAGAATGACTGTGGAACATCATAGTCATTCCAAGTTCCCGGATAGTACGATGACGGCGTTCCACCGCACCAATCTGTTCAGGAGTATAAGGACACGATAAATGATGTAAAGTGCCTGTAGCAAGAAAATGAGAAGACAACTGTGAGTTGACAAATTCACCACCACCGTCTGAATGAAAGATTTTTATTTTTTTATTAAACTGTCGGGCAACATAATGTTCAAAAGCAAGATAAGCATAAAAGAAATCCGATTTATTTTTCAGCGGAATAAGCCAAGTATACTTAGAAAAATCGTCAACAAGACAGGCATAATATCGAAAGTTTCCAATAGACAAGATAGGGGCCGGTTCCCATAAATCGCAATGGATTTTATCAAATGTGGAAGTAGATGAAAAAACAGACTGCTTGAAAGGCAATTTACTTAATTTTCCTAACTAACAGCTATCACAAAAATGACTAGTTTGATAGGAACTCGTAACAACAATGAGCCCTTTATTTTTTAATCAAAAAACAGTAGACATTTGAGGATGACCAAGGCGTTGATGCCATAAGGAAGCAGAACCAGATGTAAACCGATGAGAAAAATATGCTGCAGGAGTGTTGGAGATGGTGTAGAGATCACCCGTCCTTTTCCCCTTCAGGAGCATACGACCTGTCTTGCGATCTTTTATCCAAAACAAATCATTAGAAACTCACAATTAACATTATCCTGAGTAGTTAATTGGCTTACGGAGAGTAATTTTTTAAAAAAATCAGACACATACAACAGATTAGATAAGGATAACGAAGTGGAATCTTGTTTAATCGTGGTATTGCCAATACCTGTTATGGGAATGCAAGATCCGTCGCCAATCATGATGGAATCAGTACCAAAATAAGGTTGTAAAATCATGAATCATACCTGAAACACCTATCATATGGTTGATGGAGGCAGTATCAGACGACCATTCATGATCAGTGAAAGAGTTATCCAGGGTAAACGCTACCAAGGCCTTAGGAAGATCGTTGACCGTAGGTGATGACCGGGGAATCCATCAACAAATTTTGGCGATGTGATCAGTGACACCACAATACTGACAAGCCTTATTTCGATACATTTCCCGTTCCAAAGATGTCATCAGACGCTGGCCAGGAGGAGCAGGCTTACTTGCGGCAGGATGACGAGGCTGATAAGTTTTTCAAGCTTGTTGCGCCTGGAAGCCTCGACCCTGAGAATTAAAGTGCGAATTCTTGTGCTTGGAACCAGCAGAAGGAGCGGCAGATTTTGGTTGACTATAAAATGCAAGATCAGGAGTGTGAGGGACAAACTGGTGATTAGATCGAGTAGAGAACCAACTCTAGCGTTGGTCTTGATTCTGAAGATGATCGATCAACTCATGAAAGGTTGGTCTAGGAGGCTTAAGCATTGTAGTTGTGAAAGTTTCATATTGAGGACCCAAACTATTCAAGAGAGAGTACACCTTTTCTTGATCAGAAAGAGGTTTGTCAATGGTAGAGAGACTGTCACACAATCCCTTAAAACCACGAAGATGAGCCGCAGTGGATGTGTTCGGATCTTTCCGAAAATATGTGAGTTGTTGAGTGAGAGTGAATGCTCGTTCCTGGGAGTCGCGAGCGTATTCAGCCTTAAGAGCAGTCCAAATAGCCGAGGCGGTGTCAAGGCCAAGAATGAGACCAAGAGATTCCTCAGTAAGCATGCCAATAATCCAGCCACGCAAGAGTCTTTCGGCCTGCTGCCATGTTTTGAATTTTTCAACCGATTCTGACGAGACCTTGTCGGAGGAAGTGGCTAATTTCATTGGATCAACCATCAGTGGTGTCGAAATATGATCGATGAGGCCTTGGCTTTCAGTGAGACCAAGAACTTGTTCACGCCACAGTGGATGATTGTTGGAAGTTAATTTTAGGGTAACAAAGTTCCCTACATTCAAGGACAGAGAAGCGGAAGCCATGTGGGAAGACAGCAAACCGAAGCCGAAACGGGAAGAAAGAAAAAAGTGACGGCCACAGGAACACGACCGACTGATACCAAGAAGAAAAACAAGTCTAGGGTTGAAGACTTGGTTTTGAATATGGACTGTATTACTTTTTTTTGTTCTCAAATACAAATGTTACGAAGTTCTGTTTTTATAGAACTTCCACCCAACCCTAAAACTAGAAAGTACATAGCAACATAACGATTCTAGTTTAGAATCTAGTTTTGGTAATTATTCAAAGCAATCAATCCGTGGGATTGAGATCCTCAATGATTTCCTAATAGTCAATTACATCTCATCATGGAATGTGATTATCCTTATAATACAAATCACCTTATAACTCCTCACATTCAGACCCTTCAATTTCGGAAGTGGCTTGATTTTGAAGGATATTGTCAACAAGGAGAATATCAAAAAGTTTCAATATATCGTTTAAATAAGGAAGTAGGAATGACGATGCCTGGAATTGTATCCCTGGCTCGGTTGTGGAACTTTGACTAGGGCTTCCTACAAAAAAGAACCTCGGGAGTCTCTCAAGGGTAGACACTCCGATGGGATTTCTGAGTCGGATCATCTTCCCGGTTCGGATCTTCGCCCGTGAATGTTTACCTTTGGGCTGGTTCAAGGCCTATTCATTTCACATGGATCGGGTAGAGGTCAGTTTTATTTAGTGTCAAGTCTTATTTATTTCACACAATTAACACTTGACAGAGGCACTTGATGAGTCCACATCCACCACCCTTGGTGGACCGACCCATTATACGGCTCTAGGGTCCAACCGCTTCTTGAATGGCGGTGTAATATTACTAACCCTAGTGGTATTCGGTACTTCCCAAGTATATAAATAGGGACCATTATTTCACAATAGAGGTACGCTATCTTTAGTGCCCAATCAATATACGCACGCTATATCAATTCTCTCGGGAGACCCCGATGTTTAAGTCAGAAAATTGGAATAGCGTGCGTATATTGATTGGGGATTAAAGATAGTATACCAATGGTCCCTATTTATAGACTTAGGAAGTACTGAATACCACTACGGTTAGTAATATTACACTACTATCCAAGAAGCGGTTGGACCCTAGAGCCGTATAATGAGCCGGTCCATCAAGGGTAGTGGATGTGGACTCGTCAAGGAACACACCAAAAGTTAGAATTTCAAGCTGATAGTTTTTTGATTCATCATTTTTATTAATTACTCTTTATTCTTTCCAAATGCCAATATGTAATCGTAGTTCCTATTCATGATTTTAACAATCTTGCATGGCATGGTCAACTCACCGAGTCAAACACATATTGTACTGTTGTAAGAGCACCACATTTCCAGAAAGGAACACTGCAATGTCGAGTTTTATGAGTCAATCTCATGCACAATTTTGAAAGACCTGGACAGCTCACTAGGCTTAGCTAAATTATGACGCCAATACCATTTGTCAAGAATTCCAATGCGAAAAAACAAATTCAGAGATTTCTACCATAAAGCCCAATGAGTAAACAGGAACCCATATCAACATAAACGGTCAAAGTGTTAGGTTTTGAGTCCATGATCTTACCTTTTTGAACTTTATAGACTAATGTTATTTCTTTTGTTGATCACTTGATTTAGATTGTCAGTTTAAATTTTCCTTTGTGATATTCTCTACTTTTTTAAGCAGAATTTGAAAATTTAGATACCTTACTTCTGAAGTTTGATGACCTAATGGCATTGCTTATATAATTTGTGTGTCATTTCTTTGAATTTGGTACCAAACAAAAATGTTGCTCTTGCAGTAATTAAGGTACGCATCCAACGTTAAATTTCTCAAGTGTGTGCTTGGAAATATAAATGAAAATACTTACATCTTCAAAGTTACGAAGAACTAAATTGAACTTGTGTGAATAGAAATTAATCATGTGGCTAAAGGTAAAACTTTAAAGCGAATCCCTTCTTACAGATTGCTATAGAGCTATAAATATCAACCGACTACGCAAGTATCAAACAAGATAAGGAAACAAAAGTTTCCAAAATGAAAAAGAACCCAATAACTTCATAAATTTTATACTTATTTTTGAGATAGATAAGAAAACGTTACAATGAAAAAGATTATTAAATAAAAAGATGTATAGCTTATAGCCTTATTATTATTGACTGAAAATGGGGTACATTATTGGTAGGGTTTTCATTATTCACTAATGATAATGATTGGATGAAATTATTTTTGTCCCCATAACTTTTTTTTGTCAACACAATGCTATCATCTTAGCATCTGAGATTGGGACCGGGATCAACACCGAGTTGGCGACAATAATCGGTATAATACCCAACCCTAGCACTAACAGTTCCCGGATTTGCGCCGTTACACTCAAGGTTTCCATTAATTGCCCTAATTGTAGCTCCAAATCCCTGGGATTTGATGACTGAATGGCAATTGTTCATCCAAAACCACAACCCAGTTTTGAATGATATCACATTGTTTTGGCCCACAATTTCTGGATTGTTCAGACCATTGAATCCGATGCTATTTCCAGCAGCACCATAGTTGTAGTTCCATGAAATTTGGATAGGACCTCTTCCAAAATAACCCTTTCCGGGCACACATGGATATTGTGTATTGCTACTGTCGCAATAGTTTCTTGATGCGCCGTCTATCTCATTTATGTAGCAAAAATCTGCATAACCAAAAGAAACTAATTAGGGAATGGAGTCTTTAAAAGATGATTTTCATCTTTGCTATTCGAGTCATTATGGGAAAACAAAAGGCACGCTTGATTATAACATATAACACCAAGCTTTTAAATGTTGAAAGTTTATTTTCCTTTAATAATGTATCTCTATACAAAAGCAACCTAAAAATGGATGGTAATACAGTTGAAAATTAGTTGGTGTAAAAGGCTATAACAAATTAAAAAAAAAATCACTTAAAAAGAAACACTTACGCCCAGTCTCATGAGTGACATGAGCAAAGAAAGCAGCAATTTCCCTTTTAGCATCATCGGTAGAACCAGTAGTTCCGAATGCAGGATACGAACTCGCGGCGCTAAGAAATGCTGATCGAGTATAGAACCCTTTTCCCTCGCACCACGAACCGGCTTGATTAGCAATGCCATTGAAGAAAGCATCACTCACTATTGAAGCAACACCGCCGCCACCGCCGCCGCCGGAGGAGTAACAAGGACCCTCCCGGCAGCCGGAACCACAGTAGTCATTGCCGGTTCCACAGTAGCCCCACTTGCTGCAGCACAGTCCATTACACCCACAGTTTTGGCCGGAACTGAGTTGTGGGAATGAACTGGCCACAACAAGAACTAAGATGGAGGAAATGATAGCTAAGGAACTATTTTTGGCTACCATTTTTATTTCTCTTTTCTTGAGGATATTTGAGTAGGATTTGTTTGAGTGAATTGAAAGCCATAAGAAGGGATATTTATAGTGTGCTGAAAAGGTTCCGTCGAATGAGTAAAAGGCTAGAAATCATTATTGAAGTTGATCTATTGGTTGAATGGAAAAAGGATTGTACACCACCGTATAGACCAAGTTGTTAGGAGCTTATACAAATAACAGTCTAGCTGTCAACGATTTCAATTGAATTGATATTTTAACATTTTTTTTAGAATGAATAAGAAACAATGTAATGTTTTGCCTAACGGTGTTACTAAGTCGTAATTTAACCATGGTATACGTTACATGCCATTTCTTTGTTCGGAAACGAATAAGGATATAAATGGTTAATTGAATTTTATATTTGTGATTATGGTTCGTTATGAAGACGATTGAGGATTAATTAGTAAAAATAGAGTGACCACTGCGTGTGTAACCAACTCATGAATCATGAATATACTCATTTAAACATACTCATTTGGAGAACTATGTGTTGATATGGATGAAATGTAGTTTTGAACGATAAGACATTCTGTTTCTTTTTTTGACTTTGACTAAGGCAACCATTAGGAGGCTGCTACGACTACGTACTCTTCCAGATACTGAGTGTGGAAAGTGGAAAATCGATTCCTCCATAATGATAAGTGTGGAATATACATGTACATAGATGGGACCAAAAGGCTGCTCGATCAAGGTAACAAATTTAGGGTGGGCTCAGTCCTGCATGTGGATAGTGCACCACTTGTGAACCTAATTTGTTTTCAAAAATATCTTATAAAACAGAAAACATATCCAACTTTGTTACCTAAGATTTAGCATCACGGTAGTTTGTTTTAAAAGACTGTAAATTTTTAGTACTAGCGATTGTAGAGGACGTAATTTTATTCATATTATTAATCATGCTCTCAACAAATAAAATAACAAACATACCTTGAATAAAACTTGTAAACTCTTTTTTCCATATTAACTTATTACTGTTCGCGATTAGGGAAACAACGTTTAAAATAGTTATGAAGCATCGGGACTACAAGAAGACCACCTAATTATCATTAAGTACATAGAAGCTTATCGGATTAAGCAAAGTACAAAGGAGATTGTCTTTGCACAAATAAAACGTCTGACAGTTAGCCGACAATCATAGAGCGTATCTTTGTACACATTGTAGAAAGATATATTTTTGTGACCTTTTCAGTATGTCTCAAAATTATTGTTCAGTTTAGATTTTAACTTTTGGTTCAATTTATACTAAAAATAAAAATTCAAACTGGACAATAGTTTTGGGACGGAAGAAATAATAATAATAGAGTTTTTTTTTTTTTTTGAGAAGGATACTGTACATAAAAGTTTCTAAAGTGATCAAATCCAATAGCACTTTAAATAAGGTGGGAAAAATATCACTATGATTATTTATTCTATTTAACTCACAATATTCCTCATTAAACGTTCAAAGACTCATTATTATACGGACCTAACCTCTCAATACACACAGGTAGATTTTCCTCCCATTTCGTACTCATAAAAAAAATCATGAAGATACTTTTATATCATTAAATAAAGACTAAATTCTAAAATTGGTCCTTGATATTATGTCAATTGCACATTTTGGTATTTTATATTAATATTTTGCTTAAATGGTTCTCTACATTTTATTTTGTAACTTATTTAGTTATATATTTAGAACTACTCTTATTCGGATCAAGAAAGCAAGGATATATTTTTGAATAAGAAATATATATTATTTTTCAAAAAGAAAATCTAATATTGAACAAAATAAAATATAACAATTAAATTTATAAAAAAAAAATTAAGAAAGTAATAAATATATTAAATTAATAAAAAGTAATTTTAAAAAAAAAGAAATCGGAATTGATTGTTTTCTCATTTCCATTAAAAACGACATCCATAATTCACATTTTACAATTTACAAGTTGTATGCAAACAAAAACAAGTATCCAAACACTTCACGCTAAATAGACAGACCGAATCAATCATATTTTTATGTAGAATGAATTTGTAGCAAATCCAATCATAGAATTAAAGAAATCAGAGTGCAGAATGCACTCACTTTTTAAAAAGCTATAGAGAATACTCTGTCCATTTCGATAGCAATATCTCAGCTGTAGCATTAATTACCCAGTTGGCGACTACCTTTGATGCCTCTAATTATTGGGTATTCGTTAGCCAAACTTTAAAGTAAGACGAGGCATCATGCGCTCATATGTGTACATATTGTAAGAAGTCTTAGCGACAAAAAAAGGAGAATTTCTTGGAGCATACACAGACATCCATACGTATATATTTATACTGCTCTCTCCATTTCAATAAATTCAGTTAGTGTACAATTTCTTTTCTTAACCTTTCAAAACTTGGTCTTAGTTCAGATATTTAAATAAATTTTAATTTATAAATTCTTTAACATAGATATACCATTATCATTGGAATCTAGAATATGTAATTAATGCCAACGTTAAAATTAACTAATAGCGTACCCACTAGTCATTAATAAGCATATAACAGAAATTTAACTTTAAATTCAACCACTTAATTACACATGCTTTTTCTTAATGTTTGCGTATGCCTATTTTTCTTTTTAACTAATCTAGGATCGTACGTGCGGGATTTTTCTTATAGATTATATGAAACAGTTTATAGTTGTAAATAGTCTAAGCATCATACAAAGTTGTAACTTCTGAGACTAGGACATGACTTCTATTTTGTAATTCTCTTATGGTATAAACTTGTTAAAAAACTACTACAGTATATAATTCGAAGGTATGGTGCATTGCTGATCTAAGATGATAAGACTTCTAGCTGTGGATGGTAGATCACTTAGGTGTTTGAAACTTTGAATTCTCTTGCCGAAGAATTTGAAGTAAATCGTGCGAGCCATTTTGCTATGGTATTAGCTTCTTGATAAATCTGTCAAATAAAGTATGAATGCCGTTGAGCAATTGCTGAAATTTCAGTAAGTTGAATAATGACTTGATATTTTCCATGAAAATCTCGATCCTTTCTTTTTATACTACGCACGGTGTCCTAAGTACATTTCACTCAGACTAATCAATACCGAGCCGGATTGGTCTCCTTTCGGAGGAAAAGCTCTCCAATATTGCTCTTTCCATTTACGAGACTCGAACCTGAGATCTCGATTAAGGGAACCAAAACACCTTATCACTTTGGCCAAGCAAGTGTTTGTAAAATGTCGATCCTTTTTGAATGACATTTACCAACACCTTGCTCTCGGTTTCATATTCTAATTCTTTTACAGCCACTTGGCATGGAAGAGGGCTGATGGTACCGAAAGCTAATTGTACGTAAGTGGCAAAAGTTCAATAAGGTATGTAATGTAAATACAAAAACTGCCGAAAAATTAATTGGAACCCAAACTTCATAACCATATTTTATTACTTGCGAGATAGATAATCTTATAAAAAAAATAATAGGAAATCTGAAAAGTTGCTTTATTATGGGGAACATTACGCTTAGGGTTTCGATTATGGCCCATGTAATATCACCAGTACAATTATTTTCGGTGCCTAAAACGGTTTGTGCAAAGGACATTATATGCATCTTAACAATAGAGATTAGCACCGGGATCGACACCAAGTTGGCGACAATAATCTTGGTAATACCCAACCCTAGCATTAACAGCTCCTGAATTTCCACCATTGCACTCGATCCGACCGTTAATTGCCTGGATTGTAGCCCCAAATCCTTGAGAATTGATGACGGAATGGCAGTTGTTCATCCAAAACCACAACCCAGTTTTGAATGAAATCACATTGTCTTGGGCCACAATATCTGGATTCCCTAAACCATCGAAACCTATACTGTTTCCAGCAGCTGCATAGTTGTAGTTCCATGATAGTTGGAGAGGACCTCTTCCATAGTAGCCTTTTCCTTGTACACATGGATATTGGGGGAAGTTCTTGTCGTCGCAATAATTCTGTGATGCCCCGTTTATCTCATTTATGTAGCAAAAGTCTGAAAAATCAAATGTAAACAATTAGGGAAGGGATCATGTTTGTAATAATTTTGAGACTTTCAAAAAAAAAGGATCTTCGGCTTTGTAATAAAATTAATAGGAAAAGAAATTATGATAAATGAAATGGTTTCTTAAATGATTAACTTTTTAGGTATTGACAATTACACACTCCACATTGAATTTTCATAATTGTACTCCCTCTGTCTTTCAAAAAAACCGATATTGAGTTTTAAAATTTTGAAAAACAGTATAAATCTCAAAACTCTGTATGGATTATTTTTCTGGAATGAAAGGACTATCATTCTTAAAATGTGAACTAATTATTTGAGACAAAAGAAGTATTTTTTTATGTTTCTAACTAATTTCTTTAAGTTTGGACAAACTTTGACCACAGTAACACCTTGATACACTTCTAAGATTTAAGTAGCTAACTAACTTCTAGAAGAACACAAAAGTAACAACCAAAAAAAAAGGGCTGTAAGAACATTGGATATTGGTGTAAGAGTTAAAAATAAAGAAACAATTGCTTGAGTAAAAAAACTTACGTCCAGTCTCATGGGTGACATGAGCAAAGAAAGCAGCAATCTCCCTCTTAGCATCATCCGTAGAACCAGTGGTTCCGAATCCAGAATACGAATTCGCAGCGTTAAGAAACGCTGATCGAGTGTAGAACCCTCTTCCTTCACACCCCGAACCGGCTTGATTCGCGATCCCATTGAAGAAAGCATCACTCACGATATCAGAAACACTAGAACCGCCGCCGCTGCTACCACCACCGCTGCTGCCGCCGCCTGAGGAGGAGTAGCAAGGGCCCTCCCGGCAGCCGTCACCGCAGTAGGGATCGCCCATGCCACAGTAACCCCACTTGCTACAGCACAGGCCATTGCAACCACAGTTTTGGCCGGAAATGAGCTGTGGGAATGAGGCCGCCACCACCAGAACTAAGATGGAGAAAATGAGAGCTAAGGAGCTATTTTTCGCCTCCATTTTTTTTTTATTTTAATTGGGAGAATATGATGAGGATTTATTTGAGTGAGTTGGATATTTATAGTGTTTTGAGATGGTTCGGTAGAATGAGTAAACAGCTGGAAATTGTTGAAATTGTACAGCTGAATGGATCCACGGATTAAAAAAAAAGTACACTACCTTATCGGCCAAGTTTTAAAAAAATTTTAGTACTCTTGAAATTTCGAGTTCCAGCCTTGTGAATAAAAGCCTGTCGGGGATTGACGAGGGACTAGTAAGGAAATTTGGGATAAACTTTAAAAAAAAAAAAAAAACAGAAGTAAAAAAAAAAAGGGTGAATAAGAATTAATTAATATTTTCCGCAATGCGAATAAGTGATATACTACCTCGCCTTATTGTATAAAAAATTTATCACTTTATTGTTGGGGTTGCATGATTTTTCCAAGGTTGTTGTTTGATTGTTTTTCTTACTTTGCTTTCTTTTTTGTCCCGAAATAACTATTAATGCTTGTTAGGGGATAATTATTATCCCATAATTATCTGGGGAAGTGCGTCAACCCGGCCCGAGTAATAATAGAAGTAAATTAATTTAACTATGTTAACACATTCATCGTGTATGTTTTTAATTGCTTTCGAGAGAAAGACTCAAGTTCATTCCTTAAACGTTGTGTGTTTGACACAGTCAATCATTAAGACTTGTTCAACTCCTTAACAACAAATAGAAGTCAATTTCTCTTTGGTGACGGTATAGAATATGCACGTTTACTTTTGCAACCAATTAGTAATTAGTAGAATATTTTGACGGGAGCTGATTTGGTCTTAGGATTTGAAGAGAATATAATGAGTTGGCTGCCCAATATGATTTTATTTTATTTCATTTTTTGGTTAATGCTACGATGATTAATTATCATTCGACTCGATTGGTCACTTTTGGATGATAAATGTCTCCCAATATTATTTTCTCTATACATAACCCGCATAATGAGATTTTTTATTTTTTTTTTTTGTAAAAGGTACTTGTATTTCATTCAGATTAACCAACATATGTACTTTCTGAACTATTTACAATGGATCAAAATTTTGAATTCCTAATCTTGAAAAGAATCTTATATCATCTCCACTACCATTTCTATACAAAGTTTTGATCTTTCATTTCATCTCATGTATCACCTTTTTAGCTCTATTACACGCATCGTCTTTCAGCTCTCCAAACTTCCTCGTGTTTCTTTTTGTCCATACTGCATAGATAGTTGCATTGATGCAAGCCTAAAAAACTTTTTTCCTTCCCCATCTCCAAACTCTGCACAAAGCCCTGACTTTCAGCTCTTGCAGTTGATACTTAACTCATGTCTACTGCATCATGTTCTGCCATATTGTTTGAGAATAATCACATTTGAACCGCAGATGTTCCAGGCTTTTATTCTCTTTCTGACACAGAATACATGTCTTGTCTGCTATTACCATCCCATTTTATCAAGTCTATTCACTGTGAGGAGTCTTTTCTGCCAGGCTAGCCAGCTGATAAAGCTGTGCTTTGGAATTGTGTATCTGCTCCACACTATGTCTGCTGATTCCCATTTTGCTTTCTCCCTCCTCAGCCACTTGTTGTGGTGTATTCCTTGCCATTCAACCACTTCCTGTCTTTTATTCCTTCTTTGAGTAGATTTCTGATTTTCATCGGCTTCTTAAGATACCAATTGCAATCTTTAGGATGATTGTAATTCCAACCTGACTCATTTTTCACATATATAATAAATGTGCATCCATTTTATCCATAGACTGTCCTTTTTCCTTTCCAGGTCCCATAACTGTTTTTCCAACATTGCTTTATTCCAAATGCCTGGTTCTTTCATGCTAAGGCCACCTTCTGCTTTGCTTCAACATAGATCATCCCATGCCATTGGTGACATACCTTTTCCATTTTGCTTTTTTCCCCATAGAAACTGTCTGCAACAGGCAGTTATTTGCTTGATCACTGACTGAGGTATTAGGAAGATGCTAGCCCAATAAGTGTGGAAAGTGAGCAATACTGCATTGATCAGGATTACCTTTCCAGCATAAGAGAGATGTCTGGTTGACCAACAATGTATCCTTGCAGTGATTTTTTCAACTAAAGCCTGATAATCACTTTTTGTCCATGCTGTTAGAGAAATTGGCATTCCTAAGTACCTCATTGAGAAGATTCCTTCAGTAAATTTCATGATTTGCAGAAGTTTATCTTTTATGCCACAAATTTTTCCACCAAAATACATATTTGACTTCTGATAGTTAACTTGCAGCCCTGATATTTCTGCAAAATGCTTCAGTACCTCCTTGATCTTCCTGAGTGTATACTCATCAGCCCACAAAACAGTAATAGATCATCAGCAAACATTGAAAGGATTAATTTGTCTGTGTATTCACATATATGTAGTACAATATATATAGTCATGATTTACATAAACCCTAGCCGTCTACAGAAACCCTATTTAGGATTACCTAAAATACACATCCTATCATCCCCCCGCAATCTTAGCAGGATAAGATATCATGCCTAGATTGGTACGAAACAAATAAAATTTATCTTTAGCTAAGGACTTGGTGAAAACATCTGCCAGCTGAGACTGCGTAGGAATATAACGAACAAACAGAAGAACAACTGTAACTCGATCACGAACAAAATGAATATCTAACTCAATATGTTTCGTTCTGGCATGAGAGACAACATTGGCGGCAAGGTTAGTAGCAGAAACATTATCACACAATATAACAAGAGACTGGGGAAGGGTAATGTGAAGCTCAGAAAGAAGATGTTCCAACCAAATAGTCTCGGCTAAGGTAGAAGCAACCGCGCGGTACTCGATCTCTGGGGAAGAGCGCGAAACAGTAGACTGCTTTTTGGAGGACCAAGAGACCAAGGAGGATCCAAAAAAGACACAGAACCCAGTGGTGGAACGACGAGTTGTAGGACACCCTGCCCAATCAGCATCGGAGTAAGCCACAAGACGATCAAGTGGACCAGCACGAAGATGGATACCATAGTGAAGAGTTCCCTTAATATACCGAAGAATACGCTTGACCGCCTGAAAATGTTGTTCTCGAGGATTATGCATATACTGACAGACAAGATTTACCGCATACTGGATATCCGGACGAGTGAAAGTGAGGTATTGTAGACCACCCACCAAACTCCGATAGAGAGTTGGATTGTGAAAAGGTGGGGATTCTTCCACAGAAAACTGAAAGGCCGGACCCAGGGGAGTAGCAATAGGGTTAGCATCCATGAGATGACTGCAAGACAATAATTCCTCAGCATACTTGCGTTGATGCAAAAACAAACCATTAGACTGCAGAGAGACAGAGACACCCAGAAAGTAACTGATAGGACCAAGATCAGTCATGGCAAAAGCACCTTTCATAGACTGAACAAGATTGGTAAGGAGAAGATCACTGGAGGCAGTTAAAAGGATGTCATCCACATACAATAACAACACCGCCATATCAGAACCCGCAGAATAAACAAACATAGAAGAATCAGAACGACTGGCTTTGAAACCCTGTGCAAGCAAAAATGTAGTGAACCGGTGAAACCAAGCCCGAGGAGCATGCTTTAAGCCATAAAGAGCCTTGTTCAAGCGACAGACATAGTGAGGATAGTCTGGATGAACAAAACCAGTAGGCTGTTTCATGTAGACAATTTCATTTAGATCCATGCAAAAAAGCATTTTTAACATCCAACTGATGAACAGGCCACTTACGAGAAGCAGCAGACATCCTAATTGTCACTGGTTTAACCATGGGACTGAATGTTTGATCATAGTCAATGCCAGGTTTTTTATTATAACCTTGAGCGACCAAACGTGCTTTACAACGATCAAGAGAGCCATCAGACTTAAGTTTAACACGAAAAATCCATTTAGAACCAATCACATTTTCGGAGATAGGAGGGGGGACTAAATCCCATGTGTGATTTGAAATAAGAGCAATATATTCATCAATCATGGTTGCACGCCATTCAGGGTATTTATTTGCTTCCGTGAAAGAATGAGGTTCTATGGGAAGAGAGGTGGTAGTAGCAGCAAGAGAGAAAATTTCTTTAGGTTTACGAGTGTCATCCCTATTTCGAGTGACCATAGGATAAGGTGGGGGGGACAGAGGAGGTCGAAACTGATTTGTCAGACAGAGGTGTCACACTAGGTAGAGGGGACATAGAAACAGACGTCTGAAAGGAACGTGGAGAAGAAGGCACTTTTTGCGGAAGGATTTTTGGAATGAGAAAAGAAGGAGGTTTGAACTGTGAGGATGTGGGAAGATTATGTGGAAACCGGGGAAGACAACGAAGGGAAAGGAAACGATGTTTCATCGAAGATGGCATGACGGGATATATAGACTTTCTGAGAGACCGGATCAAAATAACGATAACCCTTGTAGGATTCAGGGTAACCGAGAAAGACACATAGAACAGATCGAGGACTGAATTTATGAGAGGCTAAGTGAGAGAGATTGGAAAAACAGGAACAACCAAAACCTAAGGTCGCCATAATTTTGGGAGCGACCAAACAAAAGAGCAAAGGGAACAGAACCATTTTTAGATTTAGTGGGCAACATATTTAAGAGGTAGACGCTAGTAGTTAAAGCTTCGACCCAGAATTGAGTTGGTAAGTAAGCTTGATGAAGAAGGGTGCGAACCATGTTAATGATGGTTTGGCTCATACGTTCAGGTTTGCCATTTTGTTGAGGGGTATACGGACAAGATATATGCATGGAAACCCCTTTGGACTTAAGAAAAGTTTGGAGAAATTGAGAACGAACATACTCAGCAGCACCATCGGATTGAAGGACTTTTATAGAAACATTGAATTGAGTTTGAATAAGGGTATAGAACTTAAAAAATTTTTGAGGAACTTCAGATTTATTTTTAAGAGGGTAAACCCACAAGAAATGAGTGAAATCATCAAAAAATAACACAAAGTATTTGAAACCACTAAAAGAAAGACAAGGTGAGGTCCAAACATCGGTATGAATAATATCAAAAGCATTTAAAGTTACAGAAGAAGAA